ACCCATTATAAAAATGACATGTACAAGACGTTATGTCAAAAAACGAACTTTACAACTTTGGCTGAGGTGGGGGAAATTGGGGGACGGGATGTGGGGGAGGATGGGAAGGGATGGGAAGGGGAAACAAAGGAGGAGGCAACAATGCTTGATAAGAAATGTACTCATTACCTTGCCCATGTAATTGTTAACAGTAAACAGTAGTTTCCCCAATTAAAAAAAAAAAAGTTGGGAGAGATTGACTGAATTGCATACATTTGACCTCAAAAGCATGGTTTACTCTCTTGGATAGCTAAGAATTTTTTGTTCTAGAGTTTTTATTGATCCACCTTAGGCAGGAATAAAGCCTTTCATTAATTCTTACGCAGATGGAAACCTAGCAAACTCCTATTTTGTTATTTATTTTTAACCACTTTGGTGGGCCACTAGGCTGGCTGGAAAGTTTAGTTACAATGCTCTTTCTCAAAGACCTTGTGATCTCATTCTCTATTTTAGAGACCCTTTATATTTCCCAGTTGTCCATGGCCATTTACTTCTGATCAATTTTGGCAATCTACATCACTAACACAAGTGGCACTCTTCCTCAGATTCAGAGTTATTGTAATGTCCATTGTGCCTTAGGACAACAAATGTCTTGAGAACTGGAAAAGGAGTTCTATGAAACTCTGTATGACTGTACATTGTGCCAGACACTCTAGAACTGAATATGGGGTAGGGGGATTAAATTGTATTTTAGTACAATTATTTATAATTTTTTTTTGTCAGTTGTGAGGCTTGAACTCTAGGCCTGGGCACTGTCCCTCAGCTCTTCAGCTCAAGACAAGCACTCTATCACTTGAGCCACAGCGACATTTCCGGGTTTCTGGTGGTCTATTGGAGAACAGTGTCTCAGGGACTTTCATGCCCTGGCTGGCTTTGAACCGTGATCCTCAGATCTCAGCCTCCTGAGTAGCTAGGATTACAGGCGTGAGACACCAGCACCTGGCTATAATTCTACTTTTTAAAAAATTCAGTGAGCCTGCCTGGGTGCTGGTGCCTCACACTTGTAACCCTAACTCCTCAGGAGGATGAGACTTGGAGGATCTCCATTCAAAATCAGCTTCAGCAGAAAACGCTGAGATTTTTATTTCTAACTGGCAAAAAGCTGCAACAGAGAGATGTCTCAAATGGCAGAACATTGTCCATAAGCAAGAAGCAGGGCAAATGTGAGATCTTAAGGTCCTTCAGCTCAGAGCACTCTTCCTTATGCCAATAAAAACTAATAGATAAAATAAAAATCAGTGAGCCTATAAAAATAAATATAAACACAGTACTTCTCTCTTGCATCTCCCTCTTTTCCTCTCATTTCTCCCTTATAATTTTTGGAGCTTAAAACATTCCCTTCAATTAACTAAAAGGTCAATAAATGTTTTTGAGGTAGAATGCTATTACCTTTGACTTTAAATCTCCAATGACTAATTTTTATCATTCCTTGTATTATACCTTATTTTTCAATTAAACTTTTAAGCTTTTGAGAAAAGCAATTCCAGTCATAACACACAATATTAAAGTTCCAGTTCTTAAAAAGAAAATTTTGTAGACAGCAACATAGCCACCTGCTGGTAAAAACACAAACTGGAAAGTTAGAAAGACTGAAATAATTCACTTTTTTCCCCTCTTCTATTCTTTTGCAGTACCTGAGTTATGTAAACACTTTGTCACTGAACTGGTACCCAGACAAACTCAGAGCCTCATGTTCTGGCTTGGATTTCTTGCTCACAGTTGGCCCTCTATCCCTTGAATAACACCTTCACTTTGGCATTTTGCTAGATAATTGGAGACTCTGCAGATTTTCTGCCCAGGCTACCTTCCAACCATTATACTTTAGCTCCCTGGCCTACTGAGTAACTAAGGTTATAGGTTTGGTTACTGGTGCATAGCTTGAAAGAATTTAAATTTAGGCATGTTTGTTTTTCAGATAATCACATTTCCATGTGTAGTATATAAAATGTTTCTTAACTACTTAATAAATTTTCATTTTTAGAGTTGAAAAATATATTGCCTAATAGCCATAAATAAAAACTCTTGTGTTTTTTTTAACTGAAAAGTAACTTCAACACATTCTACTAGAAAAATAAATTTCAGTCTTTCAAGTCACTAATATGAAGTGCTAGCTCAGATGACATTGTTGCCTTAACATCTTAATTTTTGTGGGGTTATTTTTCTCATATGCAGTACCTCTAACACACTTCTCCATGCTGGAGAAGTAAGCAAGAGCTGACACTTACCTCTTTATCACTTCAATTACCTGATCTTAACTAAACTATTATGAAAACTGTTTTGTTTTGTTTTGTTTTATTTTTGTTGCTGTTGTTGTTGTTTGTTTGTTTCAGTCATGGGGCTTGAACTCTGAGCCTGGGTGCTGTCCCTGAACCCTTCAGTTCAAGGAGAACACTTTACCACTTGAGCCACAGCACATCCAGTTTTCTAGTGGTTAATTGGAGATATGAGTCTCACAGAATTTTTTGCTCAGGCTGGCTTTAAACCATGATCTTCAGATCTCAGCCTCCTGAGTAGCTAGGATCTCAGGCAAGAGCCACCAGTGCCCAGCTGGAAGCTGTTTTTGTCATCAGTTTTTGCTGCTTATAATTTTCAGAGCCTTAAATTACCTTGGCAATTTTCATTTACTTATATGACAGGAAAGCTAATAATAGTTTGCTTTTATCTAAGACAAAAACAAGATACATATAAGACAAGGAAAAGAGAAGGAGCAAGGAAAACAAAAGCAGACACATTTGACATTGTGGGTTTTTTTTTTCCTTGTGCAGCTTTTGGTTTTATTAACTAGCAGAAAGCAGAGTGTTCTGTCACTGGGCTTCCCAGATAGGTCAGTTGTTTCTCTGTTATTTAAAGAGTTCGGGGATAGAGCATGTATCAGAACAATTTATGACTGTTTTTAGTGAATTCAAGTCTACCCTAATTTCCTTATCAGAATTTCTGATAACACTACCATCAAAACATGATTCAATGTGATCAACTCAGCAACTCCTAGAGCTCTGGAATATTCTATACTGTTGTATCCATATAATTACAGAAAATTACAGAAGTTACTCACTAATGCAATACAAGATAGAATTTGCTCCCTAATTTTTGTGTTTTTTTTTGAAGGTATGAGTCATGAGGAAAATTTAACAGTGAGTTCATTTGACTCTGCTGCTTTCCAGCTTTGTAATACTCCTTCTTCTCTAACTCAACGAGCTTCCATATTTTCAGGAGAAACCCAAGTAATATCTCAAACCTCAAAATGACCCTATTACTTCATTACGTTTTGCATCTCCTCAAACAGTTCTATAGGTTCAATTAAAAAAAAAAATCAAGTACATTTTTATTCTCTCAAACATCAAAATCTGAAATAAGTCATGACTAGATTACCAGAAATAAAAGTTGATTCACACCCCCGCCCTCATCTTCTATGATGTGTTCACTGATATGTAGCAGTTTTCAATTCTGACTTTATTTGCTACTGGGTTTGGAGGCATGGATCAGGTGGAAGAACACCAGCCAGTAAGCAAAAACATCAGATACTGAGTTTGAGTCCCTGTCTCCAGCAACAACAAAAAGACTGACTAGAAATTTAGTTAGTCTTGTGTGAGGCTTCAAGAATGTTAGCTTTAAAAGTTCCAGGGATCACTTAAATTGTAGTCATGGTTGCCAGCCATTCAACCCAAACTCTGGGTAGTGAACTTCAAGAAGGATAAAGGTTTTACATTGGTTTCAGCAGAAGAAATAGACCTCAATCACAATAAGTAAAAAAAGGCTAACATTCTAAATAGCTCATTCAAGAAGGTAGAACTCACAAGATGAAAACTAGGAAGGGCTTTATTTTTACCTCATTGCTACTTTGGTTTTTTTGTTTGTTATTTGGTCAGTCATGGGACCTGAACTCTGGGCCTCAGCTCTTTAGCTCAAGGCTAGCACTCTACCACTTGAGCCACAGCGCCACTTCCGGCCTTTTCTGCGTATGTGGTGCTGAGGAATTGAACCCAGGGCCTCATGCATGTGAGGCAATCACTCTACCACTGAGCCACCTTCCTCATTGCTACTTTGATATACATTTTGTAGTACCTTCTTTCTTTCCTCTTGTCAATTTTCTTAGATTTCACAGATATATAGTGGTTTTGGATATTAGAAAGGTGTCATTGCTCTTTGTTCCCCAACTTAGAAAGTCCTTTGCAGATTTAATTTAAGATTACCAAGGTAGTATGACCCTTAGAATGCTCTATGCAGGAAAATATACCATTGCTAAACTAAGAACAGAAAATATACTGGTTTGCGTTTTTGTTATTTCCTTACTCTATGTCATTTCCCATGCTTAATCATCAGGTCCTGCAACATGTAGTTTAAATCTTATGTGCCAATCATATGGTTTTCATACATAAAAACAGTAACAGAAAAGCATTCGGTTAATACATGCTTTGTAATGTACGTGGCTTATATCAAATTAAATAAATTAGTTGTAATACCAAAACTACTGGACTATTTGATATTCAACAAGTTTTAATGTACATCAATTTTCCCATTTATAAAACGTGCTTGCATTCACAAATAGACACAATCTACATTCAAAACTCTGTTAATGGTATGTCATTACAAGTATGGACCTGGAATGTCCCTTGAAGGCTCATCAGGTGTTAAGATTTGGTCCCCACATGGTGGTGCTGTTGAGACATGCGGTGGGCCTACTGCAAGGAAGGTCATTGCAGGCATGCCCTTCAAGAAGATATTGGGACCCCACCCCCATCTTCTCTCTGCTTCCTGGTCACCATAAAGTGAGCCACCAAGCTACACTGCTTCAAAATAGAACCAAAGCAATGCAGCAAAGAGACCAAACTAAATATTTTGAGATCAAGAGACAAAATACATTTTTCCTATCAAGTTGTTTTTCCTCAAATAATTTGTCACAATGATGGAAAGCTGGACCAAAAAAGTCAAACACTTAATACAATGTAATAAAAACATACTGATTTAATTTTTAAAGTATTTATATATTTTTTGCATAATTGTTTACAACAAAAATACTTGAAACAAAATATATCTAAAATTTGCCCCAATTTACATAGTAAAGTCCAATGTATATAGCTTTTGTTATGTGTAAGAGTTTTTACATTTGTATCCAGCAATTCAAAAATCAAAATGTTTAAAGCTTTAAGGTATATATTCAAATATGCACAAAATTACAATATGTTAGCTTGTAAGTTCAAGCTTATTTTATAACATAAATTGTGAAAACCACAATTTATGCTAAAGGCAACATACCAACCCATATGATCAAAGTAAAAACAATGATTATAAATTATAGTACTTTCTGTATCACCCTATCCTATATCCATAAAAGAAGTATTCTTTACAAGTCTTTATACTATAAATAAGACAGCCTAATTCATTTTAAGTGTCAAAATTGTTGTTTCCCTTTAACTATCTTCACTAGAAAGTTCATAAAATATCTATATCATTTTATAAAACCAAGCATACTGAATACAATATAGCCCTTGGTAACTAAGAATCTTTATGAATGCCTATTATTTAGTCAGTTGTTTATTAAACTCTTTCTAGGCTGGAAATAACTCTTTTTCCCTTCTTTCTATTTTTTTGTAGATAATTGTTTTTCTTGTTCTCATTTCTCATCTCTGTCAATGAGTTTTTCAGGATTTGCTGTTTGTTTACAGCTCTGATAGTCTTCCCTCAGTCCTCAACTTCTACTTTTGTGACAAAAAGTCTAATGCTCCATTAACTTTGGTCCCAACTAGTGGCACTGAAAATGTGCCTGGCTGAGTGGGAGGAAGAGATTCTCCATTGAGGTATCATGTGTTTATTCCCCTGCATACCTTTCATTATCCCTTTGGTTGCTAAAATTTCATGCTTCCCATATACCTGAAAATTTGGCTTTATTCTGGCTTTTTTGCTGTGTAAATGTCCCTGGATTAAACTATAGGTGTAGTTCAAGTGCTTGCCTATCAAGTGTGAGGCCCTGAGTTCAATCTCCAGTATCACACACACACACACACACACACACACACACACACACACACACACACACACTTGATTTCTGACCCACTGCTCTTCTCATTTAATATTCAAGGGTACTTGCTAGACCAACTCTTACCTCATTCTTCCTTCTTGAATCTCAGTTTATAGAACCTACTAGGTTCTTGAAAGTCATTGACTGCAGGTTACTCCTGATGACATCTTAAATTCTCTTAGCTTCTAGTGCTTCAGCTCCTGACTTCCAGCCACGTCATTACCTCACTTCTGTTGTCCTGATTACAGTGTGTGTAAATCTCTTCATGGAAAGTATTAAACTAGGAGAAGGAAGTAGGGAAAACCAGACACTTTGAGCTCAAGTGGTAGAGTACCAAATTTAAGGTCCCAAGCTCGGTCCATAGTATTAAAAGAAAAATTCCCCATCCCAGAAAAAACAAAATGTTAACAATCTACTTTTCTTTCTTCCTACCTTCCTTTCTTTTCTTCCCTGCTTCCTTTATTTTCCTTTCCTTTCCTTTTCTTTGCTGTGCTGAGGACTGAATTTAGGACCTCACACATGCTAGATAAATTCAGCAAAAAATTTTAACATTAAAAGTTATTTTTACTGATGTTCAATGTTCTATTTCTTCTATATCATGAATAAGTCAGCCATAAATCTGACCTAAGCACATTAGGGGTTTATCTATAATGTTATCAGATCTATGATGAATAAATTCATCAGAGTAGGTTTTAATGCCTCAATCAAATAATAATAGTTGTCTGCTATATTCAAAGTATTGTTTTTAAGTGCTCTAAGTAATGTACTGGATAATCAGTTTTTAAAATAAAAAAAAATAAAGAATTCAGCATACCAACACTGGCCAAGATGAATCAAGGAACATTGCCATGTCTAATTGGCACTTTTCATTATTGAAGTTGGTTCTTTCATCTGGAATGGATGTTACTGAATAATACTATCATGGAATCACAAAAAGTTAAGTGTTAAAATTCAGCAATATCAACAAATTGCTTCCTGGGTCCTTGAAGTGAAAATATGTGTATTCAATGTAAAATAAACAATCTAGGGAGCCACAGAGAAAACTGCTAGTGTCCATTCTCCTAGTTCAATAACTTATAGTAATAAATAAAATCCAGACCAGTAGATATAATTTTAAAACAAATTATATGATAAAGCTGCCTTTAAATTCACAAGCTTCCAGTAAGGCCCAGAAATCATTGCACAAATTTGTTTTAATATTTTTATATCATAAATTTTCCATGTAAGAGCAAATGTTTCATCAACAATATTTAAAATGCAACAAGTTGTATTAAAAAAATATAAAACATCAGTGTGTCTTTAAGTTTTTGTTTTGTTTTGAAACAGGCTTACCTTGAACTCACTGGGGTTATGGGTGTCACCACATCCAGCTTCGTCTCTGTGTTTCTTTAATGTAAACTATTAACTCATCATTGGCTACTTTTCTTGTAAATAGTTGGGACTTGCATGCATAGACAGGGAAACAGGTGAGCCTGTGTGTGTTTATGTGTGTGTGTGTGTGTTTAGGCTTCCAGTTGGCATCGATAACACAGGTTTGTTTCTTGCATTAAGACAAAAGAAGATACATGTACAACAAACATATTGGATAACAAACCATTCATTTTTAAAACATCATCGTCCATATTGGGTTTATACAATGCTGTCATGGCACTCTGTGAGACAGATGTCACTTCTGAGGCTTGTCCTCTAGCTTGTCCTCTTCATTTTCTGCTTTGTTCAGGTCCTGGTCTACTGAAACAGTGGTCACAACTGCATTCTGACTTTGAAAAGATACATCTGTGCCTGAGGGTGGTGGTTTATACAAAAAGATTGCCAGTCCATTGAAGAAAATGGTGATAATTTTACAAGTAACACCTAAATGCAAAAATAAAAATCAATCATGAATTTGGGCCTTCCCTTAGTAAAAGAATAGATCTGAGATATATATATATATATATGGATATGGATATATATATGTATATATATATATATATATATACATACATAATGGAGTTCTATGCCTCCATCAGAAAGCATAACATTGCTCCATTTGTAAGAAATGGAAAGATCTGGAAAAAAATTATATTAAGTGAAGCAAGCCAGACCTAAAGAAATATAGGTTGCATGGTTTCTTTCATTTGTAATAACTAGAATATATCCATGATATTCTTAGCAGGGTATCACAATAGCCCAGTCACTAAGTACATATAGCCATACATAATGAAGTGTATCAAAGTGAACTCCAAGAATTGGAAACAAGTGCTTCTTATTATATTCTGTTTGCAGTTATTTCTAATGTTTGTTTTATTTTTAGTTTTGTGCACACTTTGCCTTGTATATAAGTTTATCTGATCCATTGAAGGGAAAGGAAATCACAGAAATGGCAGGACAAAGAATGATCTAATATAACAATGATATTCATGAAACACTATGGTGGAAATGAACTTTACAACTTGGGAGGGAGGGACATGGGGCATGGGGAGGGGAAAGCAGGAGAAATGAGGGAAGGGGTGACGTTGTCCAAAAAGAAATGTACTCATTACCTTATGTAACTATAACACCTCTGTTTATCACCTTAACAATAAGTAATAAAAAAATGGGGCTTTTAGTTATTTCCAAACTTGAGAATTTCTGCATACAAAGAAAGTCACCATAGTGAAGAAAATTATATGGCATTATATTTCTATGCTTTCAAATTTTTAAATATTCAGAAGGTTGGAAATGGTGGATTGTGAATTTAATATCAGGTCTCCAAAAACTGAGGAAAGAGGATCTAGAATTTGAGGTTAGCCTAGACTACACAGTAAGTTCCAGGCTGTATAAAGATGTTGACTCAAAAAGACCCCAACAACAACAAAAACTCATCTGGGTACAGGTGCTCAGGCCTATAATCCTCACTACTTGAGGAAGCTGAGATTTGAGAAGTGATGTTCCAAGCTAACCCAGCAAGAAAGTTGATGAAATGCTTATCTCTAATGACCCCACTAAAAAGCCAGAGAAGGAGCTCATGTGACTAAAGTGGTACAGGGTAAAAAAGCTCAGGGACTGTGCTCAGGCCTTAAATTCAAGTCCTATTACCAGCGTGCACACGCACATGTGTGCACACACACACACACACACACACAGTCAATATGAACACAGTTCAATATGAACTAGCATTTCTTTTCTTTATAAACAATAAAAATATACTCTAGAGAAGGATTAAATAACTCCATGTTTCGTTCCCTTTTATTTGGAAACAAGGTTTTACTATAGTGATACAAGCTGGTCTTGAACTCATGATCCATCTACCCAAGCCTCACAAAGGCTGAGAGTACATCATTGCCCCATACTTCATTTTTAACATAATATTATATTTCATTTAACATACTTCATTTAATATACTACTATATTCAAAAAACAAAAAAAGCTAATTGATAATGATAAAATAGTTTATGTCATCCTTGAACTTGAATAAGTTGAAAAATTCTAATGTTCAAAATGGAATATAATATTAAAAATAGGTAAAAATTTGGGGGAAAAGTACTTTTATTTATTTTTTATTTATTTTTTTTGGGTCCAGTCATGGGGCCTGAACTCTGGGCCTGGGCACTGTCCCTCAGCTCTTCAGCTCAAGGCTAGCACTCTCTACCACTTGAGCCACAGCGCCACTTCCGGCTTTTTTCTTTTTGCTTATGTGGTGCTGAGGAATCGAACCCAGGGCCTCAGGCATGCAAGGCAAGCGCTCTACCACTGAGCCACCTTCCCAGCCCGGAAAAGTACTTTTAAAAGTAGAAGAGACCCTTTGGGAATATATCATGTTGAATATTTAAGCAAATTTCTCTCCTACGTTAGCTAAAAATATGGAGCAATAAAAGTTATTTCACAGGCTTTTTGTTTTCATAACTGATTTTAAGCTCAGCCATGTGAAGACAAATGAGTTCCAGTACTAAGTATTTAATAAATGTTATTAAAATTAAACGTGATCTCACAGGCCATTTTTTCTAATTCCTGAATCATATTTGTTAGTCATTGCTGTTTTTATGTGAAAGGTATGCATTTGAAAAACATGAATGCTCATTGGTCTAAACTTTACTAGATTTGTAGGAGGATTAGTTACCTACATAAAACAGATAATGTTTTTTGTTGGCTTAGTTTGAAAAGTGTATAGATGTGTAACATCTTTTGGAAGGTAAAATTCTCATGTTCACTGTTGGCAAAACATAAATATAAACCAATCTACTAAATAAATCTTAAACACGAATGGCTTCAATAAAAAGTGGTAAAATGATGGTGGCTATTTGGTATGTTTTTGTCAATATTTATGCTCTTGATTTTCTGAATTTATATATTTATTTCTCCAGGATTTCTCAAAAAATTGAATCTAATAGTATACTCTGGTTTTAAGCACACAAGAAGAAGCTAGTCATGATATATGTTTCCTCATGACAGCACTGAAAACTACAGGGTGTACATATCAAAAACTTCTCTATATGTACATACTCTAATTTCTTAAGATTGCTTTAAAGATTTTAAATATTGTGTGTGTGTGTGTGTGTGTGTGTGTGTGTGTGTCCTGAGGCTGGATGGTGCTTTTGCTGAGTTTTTTGCTCAAGGCTAGTGCTCTACCACCTGAGCCACAGCTCTATTTTCCACTTCTGGCCTTTTTTGGGGGGGGGAAGAGGGGGATAAAAGTCTCAGGGACTTTCCAGGTCAGGCTGGTTTCAAAGTGCAATCTCCTCCTAAGTAGCTAGGATTACCGGCATGAGCCCCCAGTGTCCAGTTAGATGTTAATTAAATTTTTTAGGGGGTGCGGAGACAGAGTTCAGGGTATTGTACTTGCTTACCTAGTAGTTTCTCTCATTTGATCCATGCCTTCAGTCCTTCCCAGACAGCCTTTGTACTTAGATTCTTCAGGTGTCATTCTTGTGAGTAGCTAAGATTACAGATGACTTACCAATGCCTAGCCTTCAATGTTAACTTTTAACCTGTTACTTTCTAAGTACTGACTATACCCAGGAGATGATTTGCTTGCTCTGTTGTCTTTTTTTTTTCATTCTTACCTTTTCTTTTTCTTTTTTTCCTTTTTTTTTTTTTTTTGTCAGTTGTGGGGCTTGAACTCTGACCTGGGCACTGTCCCTCAGCTCTTCAGCTCAAGGCGAGCACTCTACCGCTCTACCACTCTTCAGCTCAAGGCAAGCACTGCTGTAGCCACAGCACCACTTCCAATTTTCTGAGTGATTTATTGGGGATAAGAGTCTCACAGACTTTCCTGCCTGGGCTGGCTTTGAACCACAATCCTCAGATGTTGGTTTCCTGAGTAGCTAGGATTACAGGTGTGAGACACCACTCCCAGTATTTCTTTTCTTTCCCCATGTTTTTAGTGGAATGTTGCTGAACATTCCAAAGTAACTGACAAAGCAACCAATAGCTAATGAAACGTCTCATCCATATCCTTAAAATGATCAAGATGTCACTTACTTATGGCTACCAGCATATGGGCCATCCTGATGTTATCATAAATCCAACAAGCTCCTCTAGTGCCACATTCATTTACATCCCAGAGAATACATGTGCTGTCTATTGTCACACCAAATATAATTGGTCCAGGTATTGTGCCTAAAAGAATTAGGGACAAAATAAAAATGGTTGGAGATCATGACTTATTATCACAGGCTTTTAAAAATATAGTAACATGTATATCCTTATAGATAAAAATAGTCATTAGCCTTACCACATGCAAATTAACCAAATCATGTACATGTCAAAGACATATAAAGAAGCTGGATGTAATATTTAAAATAATAACATATAATTATGTTTCTAACCAGCTCAAAAAATGATTTTAATAGAAACCTCTACATATATTGTTTTAATTTAATAAAGATCTTACTGTACTTGTTATTTTGCAAAACATAATTATGTTTATTGATCACTACAGTTATTTATTGTTTTTTACCCATAATTAATGTATCTTTGAAACTAGCTAGTATTTTAAAAATCAAGATAAATTATATTAGATGCACATGTGAGTCCTCAAAACTATAGTATATGGTCTTGTCTGTGCAGACATACACATTAATGGGGGCATGTGTATACAAGTTAAAATGAATGTGTGTGTATAACAATGTGTATGTCTGTGCACATATTTAGTCAAACGAATATACCTACTCCTGTGCATTCATGTGAACACATATACATCTTGGAAACCATGAAGCTCTAAACTTCCAATACTATTAATCTCTGCAGGGTCCATATTAACAGATGCAACCAAATGCAAATTTACAATATTACAAAAGAAAATCATTTATACTATGCATTTCAAAACTCTTATTTTTCTTGTCACTCTTCTCTAAACAATTTAGTTTAACAATTATTTTCAAAGCATTTCTCTTGTTTTATCTATATGATCTAGACATGCTTTAATGTATAGGAAGGATGGCTGTACATAAGTCACTTCAACCTGTCATAAATCAAATATATTTTTTAAGGTAGTATTTCTTAGAAATACTCATCTGTTTTATAATCTATAATGGAGCAAGTTAAAAAGTGCACTTAACTGGCGAGGGACCAGTGTCTTACATCAGTAATCCTAGATACTCAGGAAGCTGAGATCTGAAGATTGCAATTTGAAGCCAGTCCAGGCAGGAAATTCCATAAGACTCATACCTACAATCAACTACCTATAAAAAACAAATTTAAGGCAAAAGTGGAACTATGGCTCAAGTAGCAGAGCACTAGCCTTGAGCAAAAAAAGCTCAGGAAAAAACACCTATGCGGCCGGGCGCTGGGGGCTCACGCCTCTAATCCTTGCCTCTTAGGAGGCTGAGATCTGAGGATTGAGGTTCAAAGCCAGCCGAAGAAAAGTCTGTTGAAATGCTTATCTCCAATTAACCACCAGAAAGCCAGAAGTGGTGTTGTGGTTCAAAGGGGTACAGGGCTCGCCTTGAGCTGAAGAAGTCAGAGACAGCGCCCAGGCCGAGGTCAAGCCCCACAACCGACTAAAAAAAAAAAAAAATACAAAAAACCTAGGCCATGAGTTCAAGCCCCAAGACCAGCATACACACACACACACACACACACACCCCACAGTGCACTTTACTGTGAGGGATCATTTTCTAACCTCCTTTCTACCAGTTAATTGTGCAACTTTTAGCAGAACCTTGAATTTTGAGGGAATTTACTTTCTCATTTGAAAAGTAAGAAAGTGGACTACATGATCACTAATGTTCTTTTTATTTTAATAAAAATCTCAACATTAAATTTATAATATTAATTTCTTTAAAATCCTCATATAGGGCTGGGAATGTGGCTTAGTGGTAGAGTGCTTGCCTAGCATTCATGAAGTCCTAGGTTTGATTCATCATACCATATACACAGAAAAAGCTGGAAGTGGCTCTGTGGCTCAAGTGGTAGAGTGCTAGCCTTGGGCAAAAACTCAGGGACAGTGCCCAGGCCCTGAGTTCAAGCACCAGGACTGACAAAAATAAAAATAAAAATAAATAAAGTAAAATCCTCATATCTGTTACAACGTAAGTTTTCTGTTATAAATTCTTCCAATAATTTTTATTTTTGGGGTCCGGTTGTGGGGCCTGAACTCTGGGCCTGGGCGCTGTCCCTCAGCTCTTCAGTTCAAGGCTAGCGCTCTACCACTTGAGCCACAGCGCCACTTCCGGCTTTTTTTCTTTTTTGCTTATGTGGTGCTGAGGAATCGAACCCAGGGCCTCTGGCATGCAAGGCAAGCGCTCTACCACTGAGCCACCTTCCCAGCCCCCCAATAATTTTTTTTTCTAGTACTGGACTTGAACTCAGGACCTCTTGCCTTCTAGGCAGGCCATCTACCAAATGAGCCACTCATTTTGCATTGATCATTTTGTGAGAAGAGATCTCTTTTTATGTCTTAATCAGCCTTGACTTATGACTTATGACTTAGTCAACCTTTCTGTTGATGCTTCCTCACCTCACTAAGAAAACAAGCATATACAAGTGCAACTAGACATTGGTTGAGATGGATTTTCATGAACTGCCCCAACTTGCCTCAAAATGCAATCCTCTAATCTCTACCTCCAAAATAGCTAGTATTATTGGATTGAGTCATTATGACAGACCAGCAATTCTTTTTTTTTTTTTTTGGGGTGGGGGTCTGGTCGTGGGGTCTGAACTCTGGGCCTGGGCGCTGTCCCTCAGCTCTTCAGCTCAAGGCTAGCGCTCTACCACTTAAGCCATAGCACCACTTCCGGCTTTTTTTCCCCCTGCTTATATGGTGCTGAGGAATCGAACCCAGGGCCTCATGTATGCAAGGCAAGCTCTACCACTGAGCCACCGTCTCAGCCCCAGGCCAGCAATTCTTAACTAGACACAATATCTTGATTTCATTTACTTTTGAAATATTTCATCTTATTGTCTTTCATTAGCAGTGCAACATGGTGGTATCCTAAATGGTGATAAAAGCATGGAAGAAAGAAATTATATGTGGATGGTCATATTATATATTTCAAATAAATCATATATACTTTTTAACAATGATTAGTAAATCAGGAAAATGGAAATGTAATCATTATAATTTCATGTGATATGTACATCTTGTACATATCATTGTTTTCTTTATTTTCTTTACATATACTATATCTGACACCAACAAAGCAGAATAACAAACCGTTTCCAATAAATTATTTGAAATGGCATACCCAATAATCGAAGCAACATGAATTGTATTCCAAGTGCTAGAGACCTTTGCCTTTGATTAACACACCTGGAAATATTAAACACAAATGAAGTTATATTGCATGCTCATATTTTGAACATACTTATATCAATTTAGCATTTCTATATTAAAGTAAATGTTGTTCATATGAAGGTCTCATGCATAGTTTAACCATTCAGAAATTATAAAAGAAAAAATTTACATAAAATTAAACAAAAGGGCTGGGAAGGTGGCTCAGTGGTAGAGCGCTTGCCTTGCATGCATGAGGCCCTGGGTTCGATTCCTCAGCGCCACACAAGCAAAAAGAAAAGCCGGAAGTGGCGCTGTGGCTCAAGTGGTAGAGCGCTAGCCTTGAACTGAAGAGCTGAGGGACAGCGCCCAGGCCCAGAGTTCAAGCCCCACGGCCAGACCCAAAAAAAAAAAAGTTAACAAAAAAAAGAAAAACTGTTATCAGAACTAAAATAATACAGATAATACCAAAGTCATAATCCCTAAGAGTTTTAACAAAATTCGTAGAAAAATAAAGACATTTATTAACAAGACATTTCTCATTAAACAGCTCAGCAAAATAGGTACTAAAAAATAGACTCCAACATAAAAAAGACCACATATGACAGTCTCACAGAAACATTTTTAGTAGGGAAAAGCTGAAAGTCTTTCTTCTGAGATCAGCAGGGGGGGAAAAAAAGGATTTCCTCACAACTTCTTTTCAACATTCAAACTCATAACTAGAATAATTAGGGAAGAAGAAAAAAATGGCATGCAAATTAGAAAGAAGTAAATCCCTCTTATTTTTGCAGACAATGGCACCTTATCAGAAAGTGTAAAGACTCTACCACAAACTATTAGAATGAGAACAAATGAATCTAAATTCATTTAAAGTTCAGCAGGAAAAATATCAATATTTAAAAAAAATCAGTTGCATTTCTCCAACTGAATTATCAAAAAAGATAAATAAAAAAGAATCTCTTTTGTAATAGCATTTAAAAGTAAAATCCTTTTAAATGAACTTTGAAATAAAATTAAAAATGCTGAAGAGAACACAAATACATGGAAAGATATCCTATATTCACAAATTGGAACAACAAACAACATCAAATAAGATTATTTAAAAATCCATATGTGAAATAATTTACAGATATCCAAAAATCCATGTCAAAATGAAATATGTGGGATAATGAATGAAAGAAGTGAAATTAATCAATCACACAACAATAGCATATTTTCTCTCATGTATGGAAGCTAAAGGATAGCAAATTAAAACCAAACACACCAGAACCTGGAAGTCAGAACACATCTTCTAGGAAAATAGAAAAGGAAAGGAAAAGATGGATGGAGAAGATAGGAATAAGAATGAATAAGAGAGGGAGTGATTGTATCAAGTAAGTATGTAACTATGATGACAAAACTGTTCTATGTACAATTTAATATATGCCACTTAACAAATGTGGTGTCTTCTTTTGCAGAAACAGAAAACTCTTAAAACTCAAATGGAACTACAAAAGACCCAGAACAGAGAAATCAATTTTGAGCAGAACAAAGCTAAAGGCACACAATCTGATTTGAAAATTTAGTATGACGTTGCAATCATCAAAGTAATATGATACTGATAAAAAATATATATATACAGATCAATGAAGTAGAACAGAATACCCTGAAATAAATCTCCATGTTTGTTGTTAATTGATCTTTGACAAGCAAGATTGTCAAGAACAGACAGTGGAAAGAGTTTTTTTTCAGTAAATTATGTTAGGCTAACTGGATATTTGCATTCAAAGGAATGAAATAGAGCCCTTATCAAAGATGACACACAGAAAGAATTCCATTAAAACCCACAGAATGGTGCAGAGTTATAATCCCAGATTTGAGAGGCTGAGGTAAGAGGATCAGGTGTTGAAGGCGAGTCTGGGCTTATAGTGGCACCGTGTTCAAACAAACAAAAAAGGGGGGTGGGGTGGAGAAAAAGTCCATTTAGAATGAACTAAAGTCTTAAAACATAAAAGTTCCTTGTCATTAGTTTGGAATATGACTTTTCAGTTATGACATCACAAGTACAGGTAATAAAGGCAAAAATAGATAAATAGTATTCCATCAAACTACAATGCTTTTTTACCAAAACAATCTATCCATGTAGAGAACCTAGAAATATTTAAAAACAACAGCAAACCATACAACTGACAGGAGTTAATATCCAAAAGGAATCTGAAAATTAAACAGCATAGTAATGAGAAAAAACTCTTAATTTTCAAAGTAAGTAAAAGATTTCAGTAGTCATTTTTCAAAGAAAGACATACCAATGTGAAAACAAAAAGAAAAAAAATGCTTCAAATTACTAGGCATCAGGTGAATATACATCAAAACCAAAATAAGATACCACCTCACACCTGTTAGTATTGGCTATTGAAATAAAGACAAAAGACAAAAATGTTGGCAAGGATACAAGGGTTAACCCCTGGGGAGGAATGTAAATTGGCACATACATTACAGTGAGTAGAATAGAGGTGCCTCAAATGATTAAAATAAAACAAGAATTAACACGGGCTCAAGCAATCTTCACTTCTGGATAGTTATCAAAGAGAAATGAAATCAGAATGTCAAAGCAATTTTGTACTCCTGTGTTCATTGAAGTAATATTCTTAATTGTTTATAAATATGGAATCCATCTCAGTGTCAATCAGTGAAGAATAGACAAAGGAGGAGTATAGCACCACTCTGTCTCTGTCTCAGAAAGAAAAGAAATTCTTGTATATGTGACATGAATGAACTTAAGAGGACTTGATGTCAACTGGGATAAACTAGACAAAAAACAATTACTGTACAATCTCATTCATATCTGGATACCAAAACAGACAATCACAGAGAAGTAGAGGGTAGAATGGTAATTGTGCAAGGCTGACGGTGAGGAAATGGGATGATTTGGTCAAAGGATGCAAAGTTTTAATTATGTAGAGTAAATTCTAGAGACTGACTGTGCAGCATAGTGATTGTAGCTAATAATACTGTATTGTATACTTAAATTTTATGGTGGGTAGGTTGTAAATTTTCTCACCAAATACACACACACACACACACACACACACACACACACACACACACACAAACACATACACACTCACACACATACCCACAACTGTAAAGTCATGGATATATTTTTTTTAATTTAATTTAATTTAATTTGTGAACATACTGTACAGAGGGGTTACAATTACAGGGGCAGGATAATGCATACATTTCTTACCAAGCATTGCAGCCTCCTCCTTTGTTTACCCTTCACATCCTTTCCCAGCTTCCCCCCACCCCCCATCCCAATCCTTCTCCTTCCCCCTCCCCCCATTCCCCCCCCTTCCCCCCCTCCCCCTTCCCCCCCTCCCCCGGCACCGACGTTGTAAAGCTCCTTTTGGACATGACAACTTGTACTTCTCATTGTTGCAACAGGTCCACCTGTATCCTTAAACAGCTGGTTTTTCCCCATCTCCTCCACAAGTTATACTGACATCAAATATAGTGAAAGCAGGGGTTATACTGTGGGGGAGGACATACAAAGCAACAAAGAGATAATCTTATAAATGTGTTAGAAACACATGCATGAAAGAAAAAAACATTAAAGTACCTATCTAAGGGTTCGTTTTCCTAACATCACATTATCTGACTTTTTCCGCTTGACTCATACCTATACTAGATATTGCAAATAAGGGAAACCATGGAACCTATGTTTCTTTGGGCCTGGCTTACTTCACTTAATATAATTTTTTCCAAGTTTTTCCATTTCCTAACAAATGGGGCAATGTCATTCTTTCTGACGGAGGCATAGAATTCCATTGTGTATATATACCACATTTTCTTGATCCATTCATCTACTGAGGGGCATCTGGGTTAGTTCCATATCTTAACTATGGTAAATAATGCTGCAATAAACATAGTCGTGCTTGTAGCTTTAGTATGATCTTGTTTGTGATCATTTGGGTAAATGCCCAAAAGTGGGATTGCTGGGTCATAGGGGAGCTCTATGTGAAGTCTTTTGAGGAACCTCCATACTGCTTTCCAAAGTGGTTGAACAAGTTTACATTCCCACCAACAATGAAGTAAGGTTCCTTTCTGTCCACATCCCCTCCAGCATCTGTTGTTGTTAGAGTTCTTGATTTTTGCCATTCTAACTGGAGTGAGGTGATATCTCAATGTGGTTTTGATTTGCATTTCTTTTATGGCTAGGGATGTTGAACATTTCTTCATGTGTCTATTGGCCATCCTTCTTTCTTCTTCAGAGAAGTTTCTCTTTAAGTCTTTCGCCCACTTATTTTTTGGGCAGTTGTTTCTTTGAGGATTTGTTGTTGGGTGGTTTAATTTTTTGAGTTCCAAGTATATTTTAGATATGAGACCCTTGTCCGTTGTATGGCTAGTAAAGATCTTCTCCCAATCTGTGGGCCTTCTATTGATCTTGCTAGCTATGTCATTTGCCCTGCAGAAGCTCTGCAACTTTATGCAATCCCATTTGTCCAACCTTTCTTTGATTTGTTGTGTTTCCGGGTCTCTATTCAGAAAATTTCGGCCTGAGCCAAGGAGACCTAGGGTTTCTCCTATTCCATCCTGTAATGTTTTCAGAGTGTCTGCTTTGACTTCAAAGTCTTTGATCCATTTGGAGTTGATTCTGGTGCAGGGTGATATATAAGGATCTAGCTTTAGTTTTCTACATGTAGTTAACCAATTTTGCCAGCACCATTTACTGAAGAGGCTGTCTGTCTTCCATTCTATTATTTTAGCTCCCTTATCGAAGATTAGATGGCTATAGGTCTGTAGGTTCATTTCTGGGTTTTCAATTCTATTCCATTGGTCCTGAGGTCTGTTCTTATGCCAATACCAAGCTGTTTTGATTACTATGGCTTTATAGTAGAGTTTGAAATTTGGTATTGATATTCCTCCAGCAGTGTTCTTTCCGTTGAGGAGCGTTTTTGCTATTCGGGGTCTTTTATTGTTCCATATGAATTTTTGGATTGCCTCTTCTATTTCCTTGAAGAATGAGGTTGGAATTTTGATAGGTATTGCGTTGAATTTGTAGATAGCCTTGGGAAGTATTGCCATTTTCACGATGTTAATCTTTTCATGGATATATTTTATGGTGGGTAGATTGTAAATTTTCTCACCAAACACACAACACACACACAAACACACACACACACACAGTCACACACATACGCACAACTGTAAAGTCATGGATATATACACAAGTTTGATTATGGTAATCAGTTCATAATATCTGTGGAGTTCAAAATATTGCATTATACACTTTAAATATACATAAATTTTATTTGCCAACATCAATTAAGTTGGAAAAAATTAAAGTAACATTGTACCATGAAAACATAAATCTTCCATTTATCAAAAATTAGATGAAAAGATAATGAGTAAATATTAAGAAGCGAAGTACTGACAAGGGAAAAGCATAGATCTGTTAGAAAAGACACAGACAGACTAGGGAGTCTGGAAGGGCAAATGGGAAATATCTTTGCAAAGAATGTGGAAGGAAGCGAGTAACCCAAAGTCCCAAACTCTGGCTAGCATCCAGGTGACAGAAATATTCTTGAGGCAGAATACATGTGCTTTGGAATCTGGCACAATGGTCTGTTCCTAAATATAATTTAACAAATCTCCAGTTCACAACTGAAGGCTTCATGAAACAAGCAAAGAAACTTTAAGTAACACCAGGTATATGCCAAGCAGAAAAGTGCTAAGACACCTACTCATATATGAACTCATTTACTTCCTACTTACCTGAATAGCTCATCCAATGCCACAGAGCTCATGTCATCTTTAGGAATAAATTTACTTGAACCCAGTAATCAATTTGTGACCCAGCTGAACCTTTGAGGCCGTATTCCCATCATTGAACATGTTGCCTTAGAGTTTGCAAACTTGGCAATATAATACATACCTTAATATAGACACGGTTATAGGAGTACCAGCCATGAAGGTAAAAATCACTGTAGTGAAGAAAATGCCAAGAAATATGGGCAAATGTGTACACTTGGTTGCACATTTTCCAGCTTTAGCTTCAAAGCTAAAACTTTCTGCAGTAGATGCAATATCTAACTTCCTTCCAATACAGGAACAATTGTAGTATGTCTGAAAACATTAGGCACAAAAGTACTAAAATTGTTAGTTTTGACAAGGTATTTTATCATTATCAATTCAGTGATTTCCAAATATTTCATATACTCCTTCACTATCCTAATCCATATGCAGTAAGTAATGCTGCAGAAGAAGTTATAAAGTTTCAAAACTAGAAACAACCTGCCCTTACAATTTAACTTATCTATTATTTGCTCATTTAAAAACAAATTGACAAAAATATAACAGTTTTATGATCTCACATAGGCTAGACTACTTTAATCTACCACAACTGCTCAAAATGTGCTTCCATGCTAACTTTCTTCTTTTCTATTATAGAAGGCAAAGAGAAATCCATGGTGACAATTTTCACTAGGATAAAGGATCAAACACTGAAATTCTGGTAAATGCCACAGTATAATTGCCTACTACATCCTATGACCTTGGAAAATGTTCTGCTTTTCACTATAGCCTTTACATCTACAATTTTTGGTTGGGTTTACTGAAAGGAAAGTGTAGCCTTCCTTAAATGATATACTTATGACAATAAGAAAGAGAACTTATCACCTCATTATCCTGAAATCTATATTACATATAAGTAATACCTCAAATATTTCTCATACATAAATATTATCTATGTAGATTTTTAAAATATGAAACATTGAAAGTTAACATGATAAAAAAATGAGTTTGGCCTTTATATAAAAAAAGAAACCCAGATATTAAAAGACATATAACTATGTCTTCTTAAAGGATTTTATTAAGTTTCTATAGGTAATGCTTGATAATGATAGATTTAGTTTCATTCCAATGATTAGAATTGCATGTAATATCTCAGCCTATTAGGTCTATATGAATTGACAAAGATATATTTATGGTAAGACTTTTCTCTTTTGGGGGTACTGAACTTTAATCTCAGGTACTTGTTCTTACTAGATACACCTTGAATCACATCCCCAGTGATAAAAGGCTTTTCTCTACCCTACGTCGCCATTACATATTTCTTAGTTTTTTTTTTTAATATTTTTTATTGTAAAGATACTATACAAGAGGGGTTACATTATTTCTTAGTTTTTAAAATTATTTTAAGTAATTGTAAAAATGACTTTCAATTCAATATATCAGTCTTTAAGTAAAACTCATCTTGATCAGGCTCAACTCTTGCATCATTCTTCCCAGTCAATAGCCATATGTAAAACAATGTGACAAGGTAAATTGAGGGGATGGACGGAGTTGGGAGAAATGGGAAAGAATGATGAAGGTCTATTCAGTGCTTTTATTTATTTATTTTTTTTTTGGGGGGGGGGTCCGGTCGTGGGGCCTGAACTCTGGGCCTGGGCGCTGTCCCTCAGCTCTTCAGCTCAAGGCTAGTGCTCTACCACTTGAGCCACAGCACCACTTCCGGCTTTTTTCTTTTTGCTTATGCGGTGCTGAGGAATCGAACCCAGGGTCTCAGGCATGCAAGGCAAGCGCTCTACCACTGAGCCACCTTCCCAGATCTATTCAGTGATTTTATATAACCATCTTTTAAAAGTCTATGTTGCAGCCGGGAGCCGGTGGCTCACACCTGTATCCTAGCTATTCAGGAAGCTGAGATCTGAGGATCACAGTACAAAGACAGCCCAGGCACAAAAGTCCATGAGACTCTTATCTCCAATAAACCACCAAAAAATGGAAGTGGCACTGTGGCTCAAGTGGTAGAGTGATTGCCTTGAGCTGAAGAGCTGAGGGACAGCGCCCAGGCCCAGAGTTCAAGCCCTACTGGCCAAAAAAAAAAAGGTGTATGTTGCATGCCAAGTGTGGTGGACCAAGATTGCAATCCTAACTACTTAGGAAGTAGTTCATGGTTCAAGGCCAGAAGGGCAAAAATAAGTTCAAGACATTCGATCTCAACAAACAGCTGAGTGCAGCGGTATACATGTGTTCCCAGCTACCGCTACCAGGGAAGCTCAATGGCTGGATGCATACACCTGTCATCCCAACCACAGGAAAGCATAAGTAGGAGGAGCCAAGCCCAGACAAGTTTGGACATAAAGCATGACCCTAACTTGAAAAAAGCAAAAATGGAGCTGGAAGTATGGCTCCAGTGGTAGAGAGCCTGACATGTAAGCACCAGACTCTGAGTTCAGTATGAAATTTTTGTTGTTGTTGTTGTATTTGGGTTTATTCCCAACAGGAAGATTGAAAGTCAGCCTACTGAGATAAAGTCTTAATGCATTTACTACATATAAATGTAGTAAAGGTATTTCCATATATACACATATATATTCATGCATGTACTTATGAGTATATAACTTTACACACGTGTACAAATATCCATATTGATTTTACAATAAATCTCAACCAACTTTACTCATTTCTACTTGCTTGTATAGAAATAATTTTTACAGCAGGGTGCCAATGGCTCATGCCTATAATCCTAGCTACTCAGGAGGCTGAGATCTGAGGATTATAGTTCAAAACCAGCCCAGGCAAGAACATCTTTAAGACTCTTATCTCCAATTAACTACCAGAAAACCGAAGTGGCGCTGTGGGTCAAGTGGTAGAACACTTGCCTTGAGGTGAAGAGCTGAGGCCCAGAGTTCAAGCCCCATGATCAACATCAACAACAAAAATACTTTTTACAATCTGAAACTTATCTTCATATAAGAAAAGGAATGCCACTACATAATCCTATATTTCACTTTTTGCTTAATGTTCTAAAGATAGAAATCAAAGCCTCATTCTTTTGCTCAGCTTGCTTGCTCATGGCTGGCACTCTACCAGTTAATTCATGCCTGTTCCTTAGCTTTTCAGTGATTAATTGGAGAGGGAGTCCCATAGACTTTTCTGCCAGGGATGGCTCTACCACACTCCTCCAGTTCTCAATCTCCTAAGTAACTAGGGTTACAGGTATGAGAAACCAATGTTTGGCTCTCCTAGGTCTTTGTAAAGTTACCACATTATCTACAAATACCTAATTCTTGCCTCCTTTTTTACATCCTCCATGTGAGAAACTTCTCAATGAAATTATTAATAATAGTTGCCCAGGAAGAAAGAAAAAGGAATCTTTCTCCATTTGAGATATCAAGACTAGCTAATGGGAGAGGTGGGGCAGAAAGAAAGAACAGGCCCTTCAGAACCCCAGGAGAAGGATGCAGAGAGGACAATCATAAATACACAAACACATTCCTTCACAGTTACCTTGGGTTTCCCATTCAAAACAGAGTTTAAACAACCTGCAAAGCAGGGAGAAAAATATTGGACTCCATCTCCTCCACAGAGGGGATAATAATAGGATCTCAAACAGTTACAATTGGCATTACAAGGGGCTGTCAAGTTCCCCAGTTTTCCTGTCCTGCAAATAAGAAAAGAGAGAAAGTTAAATTCTCTTTGGCATAACTTCTTAACAAAGAGTTAAGAAGCATATTTCATCCTGTCATTCAGTCATTTATTTAGTCACTCAACACATAATTACTGAAAGAATAAAAGAAAATCCCTTCCTTTGCACATAAGCTTAACTTCTTGTGAGAGAGAGGTAATAAAAACAGTTACAACGTAACTGCTATACAGCAATAGAAAATATTAGGTCAAGTTTCTGTCTCTGCGCTCTACCCTTCTCATGGGGAAGTAGTTCTGTGAATTCTGGGATGTTTAACAATGTTCCTAACCTCCACCCACCAGATGCCATTAGCTCTCTCCAGTTGTGGTGACCAAAAATCTCCACATTTGTACAATTTCTCTAAAAGGTGAGCAATATTTTGAACCTGAAAAGATGAGTAAAATCAAGTTGTCCAACACACTCAGTTCCCAATGAGAAAACCGAGGCTTAAGATACTGCCCTTGGGGCTGGGAATGTGGCTTAGTGGTAGAGTGCTTGCCTAGCTTGAAGTCCTGGGTTCAGTTCCTCAGAACCACATAAACAGAAAAAGCTGGAAGTAACACTGGCTCAAGTGTTAGAATGCTAGCCTTGAGCAAAAGAAGCTTAGGTATAGTGCCCAGGCCCTGAGTTCAAGCCCTAGGGCTGACAAAAAAAAAAAAAAAAAAGATACTGTCCTTTACTTGCCAAATACAAGTTCCTGTTTACCAGGCCAAATGTTGCTTTATATTGTGTCCTAAGAGAAAGCAACATCTTTTGCAATATTAAAACTTACACTAACTGAAGACATTCTCCAAGCAAGATATTATCATATATATATATATATATATATATATGCATATATATATCCATATATATGGAGCAGATGTTAGGCCCTATGCTAGCTAATGAGATTACAAAGCTAAACAAAACAGTATTATCTCTTAAATATTTCACAGTCTAGGAACAGAGATGGACATATAAATTACACTCTAATATGCTGAGTATGGTTACAGGTAGCTGCAAAGTGAAATTTCTTTTTTCTTTTCTGGCTATATTGGTGTTTGAACTCGGGCCTTTTGCTCGTTGGCAAAGGCTCTACGGTTAAGTCATGCTTACAGACCTATTTTCCTTTGATTGTTCTTTGGATAGGGTCTCACACTCTGTGTAGATCTGGACTCAGCTAAGATTCTCCAATTCATGCCTCCTTCACAGCTAGCATTACAGACAGGAATGCTCTACTACTCCTTTCTTGATGGTTAAGATGATTTATTAACTTTTTGTCCAAGCTGGCTTGGAACTTTCATCTCCATTTCATCATATGTGAACTACAGTTCAGAAACAGCAAGGAAGGAAACCTTTCGTAAGTGGAAGTTTGAGATGAGCCAAAAAAATAAGTTAGCTAGAGGAAGGGAATGGCATTTCATACAAGACTAGCACAAAATGTAGTTGAAATCAGCGACTAGTTAATGTAAGGGTCTCATAGGCCTTGGTAAAGCAATCATTGTTAGCTTGACACAGTAGTGCATGCCTATATTACTAGCAGTCAGGTGACTGAAGCAGGACATCATGAGTTCAAGACCAGCCTTAGATACATAACAAGGCCTTATTAAGAACAACAAAAACAAAAAGGAACTGGAAGTATGACTCAGGTGGTAGAGCTCTATTGCCAAAAATAAACATTAAAATATTTTTAGATTGAAAAGTGACTTGTCAAAGGTTCATTTTAAAGAAATAATTCTAGAAATTGTACAGAATATGGTTAAAAAGAGAGCTATGGTTGTAGCAAATGATTTTAGAGACAAATTTTGGGTGTAGTATCAGTAAGATTTGGTGATTGATTGAATGAGTGCTGATGACTACCCCTGTACAGGATGGAAGAGTCAAAGGTGACTCTTACTATCAAGGTGGAGCAGAAAAATCATTTTTGAGTAAGAGGAGATGGGTGTGGTATATAAGATTGAGACAAGAAATCTCATATTGATTTGCATGAAGATGTAGATGAAACCATAGGAATGATAAGACCCACAGCAGAGGGTGAGGTCTGGCTTTACATAAGATTGAGACTAGAAATCTCATATCAATTTGCATGCAGATGTAGATGAAACCATATGAATGGTAAGAACCACAGCAGAGGGTGAAGCAGCAATACTACAGTTTACATATAGCTTCACAACTACGCAGTTTCTAATGTGAACTCTTTAGTCACATTTAACAAATGGCAAAGGCATTACACTCAGAATATTCAATGTATATATGTGAAAATGGAGCTGGGTACTTTGAAGGGACGGATAGGATTGGGATAAATGGGGGTAAAAATGATGGAAGGGATTACACAGATCAAGCTGCATTGTCCTCAGATGGACCTGTTGAAATAAAACTCCTTGTGTGTGAACAATAATCACTGCCTCTATGTTCCAGACCTTGATATGCCTTGATGTGTATTTAGGTACAATGCCACATGCACCTCTAAGTGACACCATCCTACTTGCCTTCATTCTGCTTGTCCCACAAGGTTACCTTGTAGTAACTCTTAAAGTGCAGGAGAGGAAATGAATTCATATCTATTTTGTAATTCAGGGTGCTAAAATAAGGGCCTACCTGTCTAGATCTTTATGTATAACTAAAAGAAACACGTAGGACAAGTGCTTTATTAAAAATAGGTTGAGGTAAAGATCATCAGAGTGAAAAATCAGGTCTGTACAACTTACCTCTACCTACTTTCAAATAATATTTCCAAGCAGATATACACAATTGAATTTGAACTAATCTCTAAATCTTGCCTTCACTGTTTATAACATTGATAAAACATTTATAAACATATTACTTAGAATATTATTTCTGCCCTCCCCAGTTCCCAAATACTAATCTCTCTAAATCTAGTTACACCAGAGGAAGAAATCAGGATCATGCTTGGAAGCCTACCCAGGAAAAAAAAATCAAAACCTCATCTCAGCAAATAGGCCAAGAGTGGTAGTATGCACCTGTACCCTCAACTGAACATGAACAGGAAGTGTAAGTAGGAAGATCATAGTCTGAAGCCAATCTAGGTAAGGACATGAGACCTTATTTGAAAAACAACTGAGGCAAATAGGACTGGGGCAAGGCTCAAGTGACGGCATCTTTCTATAAGGGTGGAGGTCAGTAAACCTCAGTAATACCAAAAACCCAGAAAAATCTTAACCGCTGATAACTTTTTTTTTTTTTCTGTCAGTCATAGGTCTTGAACTCTGGGCCTGGACGCTGTCCCTGAGCTCTTCAGCTCAAGGTTAGTGCTCTACCACATGAGAAACAGAACCACTTCTGGTTTTCTGGTAGTTAATTGGAGGTAAGAGTCTCATAGACTTTTCTCCCAGGCTGGCTTTGAACCACAGTCCTCACATCTCAGCCTCCTGAGTAGCTAGGATTTACAGGCATGAACCACCAGTACCTGGCAATAACTTTCCTTATTCCTAAAGAATAGTTAAACCCCATTTTACTATTAGACCAGGGAGTCTTTCCTGAAACTAGTCAAACAAAATTGAGAACCTCTCCTTCTTTTGAATTCCATGGAGTATCCAATTACCTACTTCATTGTTTATTCACTGTTGTATTTACTAGTCTCTCCTTCAGAATGAGGATGTGGCCACAAAGATTTGTCATAAGAATCATTGAACAAGTGTAAAATAAATGTAATGGAGCTTAACCAAACACTGCTATAGAACATGCTGTATTATGTGAATGCCAAGGAAAGACAGATGCATGAACAGCAACCACAAATCACAATTATTGCCACTGGCAAACATTTCCATGCAAATTACACTTAATTTATGTCATGTGAATACTATATGACACAAAATTACAGAGTCCTGGACCTGGAATACCACCTACTTTCACACCCTCATACCATGTGACTGAACAATGAAAGCAGCAGGCTGAATTCCATTATCCCCTGCTGTGCAATGTCTTCCTGCCTGATCCACTTTTCATGGCTCAGGAATTCAGAGTAAAGCTAAACAGGTAAAGGAAACCAGCTAAAAGTATAAACACATCCATAGGACAGGGAAACATGAATCTCCAAGTAATTTTAACCCCTAGGACTAGTTGCATGTTCTTTTCGAATCTATTTTAATTTCCTATTGGGAATATTTTCAGGCCACCTGTAATGATATACGTCTTTAATCCAAGCCACTCAGGAGGTAGAAATTTGAAGAATCATTATTTTGAGCCAGCCCAGGCAAAAAGTTAGTAAAACCTCATCTCAATAAACAGGCCAGGGGCTGGGAAGGTGGCTCAGTGGTAGAGCGCTTGCCTTGCATGCTCGAGGCCCTGGGTTCGATTCCTCAGCACCACATAAGCAAAAAGAAAAAAGCCGGAAGTGGCGCTGTGGCTCAAGTGGTAGAGCGCTAGCCTTGAGCTGAAGAGCTGAGGGACAGTGCCCAGGCCCAGAGTTCAAGCCCCACGACCGGACCCAAAAAAAAAAAAAAATAAAATAAACAGGCCAGCCATGGTATCATGGGCTGTCATGTAGTTTCCAGCTGTGTAGGAAGTCTAGGTAGGAGGATTGCAGTCCAAAGCCAGTGCCAGGCAGGGACATGAAACACTACCTGAACAATAACTAAAGCGAAAGGAACCGGAGTTCTGGCTCAAGTCCACCTTCCTAGGAAGGGTCAAGAAAGAGAGACATAGACACAGACACAGACAGAGAGGCAGAGACGAAACAAACCTAAACAGAGACAGAGAAAGATAGAGACAATGAGAAAGTGAGACAGAAGCAGAAAGGAAGATACAGAAAAACAGAGAAGACATAAAAAAGAGACAGTCAGACACATGGAATTTTATTGGAAGGAATAGTTATAAGTTAAAAATTTTTAATTAATAAGAAAATATTGCCGGACACCGGTGGTTCACGCCTGTAATCCTAGCTACTCAGGAGGCTGAGATCTGAGGATCGTGGTTCAAGGCCAGCCTGGGCAGGAAAGTCCGTGAGACTCTGATCTCCAATAAACCACCAGAAAACTGGAAGTGGTGCTGTGGCTCAAGCGGTAGAGCGCTGGCCTTGAGCTGAAGAGCCCCGGGGCAGCGGCCAAGCTCAGAGTTCAAACCCCACGACCGACCAAAAAAAAAAAAATATATATATATATATATGCTCTCCCCAAGATGTGCCAATGTGTTTTTTCTTATTCTAACAAAATGCAGAGGACAGGGCAATGTACAAAGAGTATGAGTTGACCTGGCTGGCAGTTCTAGAGGCTAGAAGTCCAGGCCATGTGGTACTGGCATCTGCTAAAACTCTGAAAGAGTCCTCTTGTGCACTGTAAGATGGTAGAGGGATCTCATGGCAGAACAGAGAGAGCAAGCTGCTTAGATCTCTTTCCTCTTCTGATGCAATTATTAATTTTATCATACAGGCTCCACCTGAATGACTTTATCTGGTCCTAATCATCTTACCAAAGTCTCAAATCCAAAATCATTAATATATGAATTTGAGGATTCTTCCAACACAGGAACTTTCAGGAGACACATTCAAACCATTACCAAGGGAAGGAGAAGGAAGGGAAGAAGGGAGGGAGGGAACAGCCACACACCACTTATTCTAACGCAGAAAAAAATGGCTTCTAATTGGTGAAAAAAATCCATATCATTTGACTGAAAAAGTATATATTTATAAATTCATACATAATTTAATATTCTGGCATAAAAATACTGAAACATATTTACCCATTGTATGACTCAGACACACCAGCAAATGGTCCATTTTCACACATGGCATAAATAAATACAAAACTCAAGGCGAGGGCCACTGCAGATGTAAGCAATGCAAACTTCATGGTATTTTTACATGCCATCTTGAATTTTGAAACAAGGACACCACCTAAAATCTGACCAAGGGCAGCGCCAGGAATTAGAACAGCCCCTAGTAAGAAACAAAACCATGAGAGACACTCACAGACGTTCATTTTTACACGAACAATTGGAAAAACGTTAAAAATGTCAATAGGGATGTAAAGTCAAAAGCATTTATCAAACATGTAAGTGCACAAGTGACCTCACAGTTCCACTAGGGAAGGGCTCAATAAACTGATGTGTTGAGCATTAAGATACTCCTTTTACCTTATAGTCACTATCTCAAGTTTATACAGTAAGTTATCTCATATAGAAAATCAGAGACTTTTATCAAAATCAGTATGAAGTATAAATTTCAAGCATGAAATATCCAGTTATATGTTATCCTCATAAAAGTTTTATGTGTTAAAGTAAAATAAGTAGATGAAATTAAACAAAATAAACTAAGTTTTACCTCCAAGGGTAGCTGCAAAGCTGGATGTCAATCCAAATTGATTTTCTATAAATTTAGGTAAAAATGTAGCAAATCCAGTAGTAACTAAGGCTTCAGAAGAGGTGGATAGAACTAAACACATAAAGACAGTATTCCTCATCAGATTCTAAAGAAAAAATACAGTTCACCAAATGAATAACTATAATCATGCTGCCTAGTGAAGCATTAAAGGTGATAGTACAACAAAACGGATTTTTAATAAACACATATTAGTCTGGAAACTTATAGGTTGTCTTCCAACACAAAAATATAACTATGGATTATTAGTACATTTACAATGATAAAAAATGTACATATGGAACGCTTAAGAAAATAGACAAGTCACTCATTAGAATAATGAATAAACCTTTATCATACTCAAGGGGCCAGAGAAAACAGGTAAAAGCCTGTTTGGAAAGGTTCCTTTCCCAGACTTACTATAATTGTACATACTATACATCTATCCCCTATTACATTCTTAAATTGTGTCTTGAATTCATATGTCCATTGAATGAAGACCTTAAGACTGTAAGTATAGGTGCGAGTAGTTTCCAAGGAGCAAGTTCATATCTTTCTATAATTCAAAACTCAGTAATTGAAAACTTAGCTATACAGTTTAGCAACTAAGTAAGTGTATCTCTAATAATTAGACAAAACTAGATCTATTATATTTAGCCTAAACTAGTTAATTTTCTGAAATCAAAGACAAATGCATGTAACACTGGTTGCAGCTGCTTTTCAAAGACAGAAGAAAAAGATCACAAATTAAACATGGATAGGTAAGTCAAAATCACACTAACATCTAACATCTCATATGTACATTTAAACACAGAAAAACAAACTATCCATTTGCTATTGTTTTGTTTTACCTTCAGAGCAGCTGGAAAATCTTTAATACTTTTCCCAAAATTCTCATCTGTATGATGTAGGACAGTACTTTTATTTTGATGAGCCTGGGAAGTCTTTCCAGCTTGAATCTTCGCTGTACCTAAAAACATAGCAAATTTACTCACTTGCTCATCCTTTCAAAAATGGTTTCTTATAAACTGGACATATAGGCTGGGAATGTGACTTAGTGGAAGAGGCTTGCCTAGCATGCGTGAAGCTCTGGGGTCGATTCCTCAATACCACATAAACAGAAAAAGCTGGAAGTGGCACTGTGGCTCAAGGGGTAGGGACTAGTACCCAAACCCTGAGTTCAAGCCCCAGGACTGGCAACCTGCCCCCAAAATAAATAAATTAATTAATTAACAAGGCATATACTTCCACAAGTACATAAATTCCATAAGACATAAGGCCAGTTCTTCTCTTATTAACACTAAAGGAATTTCTACCAATCTAAACATTTTAAAACGAGACAGTTTTGCTCTCAACATACACTTCTTTTATTGAGTCTACCACAATTGTTTGTACCTTTCAAATCTGTACCTTTTCATCATAGATGTATTTTAAAATGTTTATGATTTTTACCTTTGCTTTCTAATGAAAATATTTGCTGGCAGATGAAATATTTGCTATTTATCATCATGCCCTTTGATTTTTAATAATAGTTCTGTGAATAAATCTGAGACCATATTAAATGGATAGTTATAAATTGGATGGGACAGGGTAAAAAGAAATCAATGAGTCCATCTACTCACAAGGTATCAGGTTTTCTTTTGTTCATTTCTAAAAGTTCACCATCTATTCTTCTGAAAATAACAATGGAAACAACTAATGGAAGGTGAATATGTATGTGTGTGTATGTGTAGATACACATATGTATGTATGTACATTTACATAGTGAAAAAAATCGAATGACCTGCAGAGAAACTTTATTGATAATTAAAAAAAAATGTGCTCCAAATTAGGATGTAATAATGTACATCAAATTGGTCCTTGAAATTGATGCCTAATTGAACATGAGCTAACAACTTATCATATCTTTCATATATATATATATATATATATATATATATATATATATATATATATATAGCAGGAATCAAAATAAAACAACAAATTGGTAAATACTAGAGATGAATATGCATAGATCCATTAATTACATTTGAAATAAAATTCATGAATGTTAAGACTGTTAGCTTTTATTTCCTAAAATAGAGATAGATACTAATAAGTTTATGCAGGCAACTGAAATCCTATAAAATAAACAAGAGAATTTTTTAATTTTAGTGATCCAATAGCAAATATTATCTGGTCTAGAATAAAATACCCTAGTTTACAAAAGTATATTTACCTGGTAAATGCTTTGGAAAGCAAGAGAAAGGTATTATCAATGACCAAGCGAAGAGCCAAGCTATAAGAAATCCAATCCACCAAGCCCCCAGCCATCTTGGGTCATCTTCTGTGACACCAGAACTGTGTGACAGAAAAACAGGAAGTAAAAAGCAACTAAAGTCTTGTCAACTAAAGCTCAGTTATGCATTCACAGTTTATAGTCCAATTACTTGAGCTACAATATTATATCTAAATTTGTGTGTGTATGTGTGTACACATGCATGTGCATGCGCGTGCGCACACACACACGCGCACACACACACACACACACACACACACACATGCACCAGTCCTGCGGCCAGAACTCAGGGCCTGGGTGCCGAACCTGAGCTTTTTTTGCTCAGGACTAGCACTCTGCTACGTGAGGCACACCTCCACATCTAGCTTTTTGGTGGTTAACTGGAGATAAGAGTATCGTGGCTTTCCTGCCTGAGCTGGCTTCAAACACGTATCCTCAGATCTCAGCCTCCAAAATAGTAGGATTACATGTACAAGCCACCAGCAGTCAGCTAGAAATCATTGTAATAAATCCAGAAACATGTAGCAGACATAAATGAATTATAAGGCCAAAAGTTTAGAAGACATTTTAAATGGCAAGAGTTTAAAATATTTAATAGTAAATATAATCATATTAAATACTTAAACATTTTTATTTAATTTTAACTATGTATTTCTCTGTTACTCTATTTAATGAAATACATCTTACAGGAAAGCATTGATTTAGTTTAATAGCTTATACAATGCACTTCAATTCTAGCATTTCTTTTAATTTGACTTAATTTTTTTATATAATGGTTCTCTTATTTTAATATTGATAGGCTTTTCTAAAAGCTTCCATTTCTGTAACTTATATAATTACTTACTGTCCTAAAAACCTGCTTTTCTAATTCTAGGTTTTGTTGTGCATATCTGCTCACTATCTCCCTAAGCTTGGACTAGGACTAATAGCTCAGAGAGCAAATCACATACCCAGCATGAGTTTTTACTCATCACTGTGTTTATGCTAAGCTTTGTACAGTAATAGTTCTCCGGGGTAAATTAGGAAATAGTGTTTCACCAACTTCCTTATTCAGGGAAAGAATACAGTGGCTAAGGATGGTAAAGAGAGAGCTTAGATTTAAAACATCAACTTCATGTCTTGACAGTTTGCCATTTGCCAATATCTGTGTATAAATTGCCTTACAGAATTAGTGGGAGGGTTAAATAAGATAGGATACAATATAAGCTAACATTAATATGCTATCAGGATATGATCTATTATTAGTTTTACTACTGTTATTGTCACAGTTGTCAAAGCAAAATAAATGTGATTTCTGTATTACCAGAGATACCAGAGAACTTATTCTAACAGTCATATTCCTTTAAAACCATTCATGCTATCCACCTCCAACTAAGTTTACTGAAAATACAGTTCATTTTTATTACTGATCCCTGCTCTTGAATAATATTGGGATCCTAAACACACATATTTAACAAGTTCACTAGATGAAACTATAATGAAAAGTGCAAATAAAGTTGTATATTGAATTTAGTTTCCTAAAAATTCCTCATGACATGCTGAATAAGCAGTGAAAATGTTCTGTAATCTTCACATTTCTAGAACAAAATAAATTTAAATGAAAGAAAATAGATATTGCCTTGCCTTTCTCCCATAGCAATGTCAATGTACATGGTTAACAGTTGTCCGCCCAACACATAGCCAATTGCAGGACCTAAGATTGACATAGAATAGCCGATTCCTAGAAGAAGATTAAAGGCATTAGAAACAGCCATATGGACAATTTATATCAAATAATTGTGATGATAAATACTTCACTGTAGAAAATTCTGACTGGTTAGACCTGCATCAAAATTACATTTATTTCCTCCCTAAAATAATGCAATTTGAATAATATCCACTTAGGACAATGCATCTAAAATGTATTATCTACTGCAAAACTTGTTGGATTGCAATAATAAATGTAATAAGCCAAATAATTACAAATCCATGGTTAGTTATAGCAATGGCAACTGGTGGCAGGCTAAAACACCTATCACTATCCTTTACTAATAGTAAATCTTGTAGCCATCTTGTAGAAGAATATAATGTGAAACTCTATCTTTCCCACTTTCCATGTACTGGAAAGCATGCATTAACTTCACATTATGGCAGATTTCAAAACCTAGTTCCATTTCATACAAGTAACCAATTCATTGTTAGTCATTTTGTTAGAGATTGCCCCATTTCCATAAGCAATGGGACTAAGTTAAACATACATCTGCCAGATATTTTAAATTATACTACTATAGAACATTTACAAGAAAAAACTGCTGAACTATTTTACTACTGAGGTTCTTATTCTCTCTCATATGCAAAATAATATAAAAATTCATTTACACCCTAAACTTAGACTATCATTGGTAAAGAAGATGTGTAGTAGATCAAATGTTCGATGATGATAAGATGATCTAAAAAATACAAGTTTTAATCAGTCAACTACTTGAAGAGTACAGCTGTATTTTAAAATGCAACAACTGTAGGAAAAATTGTATTAAAATGCTAGAAAATAGTAATTTATAAATTACTTCCTGTGACAGATAGTTTAAAATGACTTCCAATTGGGTTAGACTGAAATTTTCAGAGAAGTACCTATAAATTTTGTAAGAATATAAAATTATGGTAATTTATATTAGTTATATGTTATTACAGAATATTAATATATGATATATGACATTTCCATATTAGGAGTATGGTCAAGTAAACTTAATATTACTGTCTTTGTCATGGCTGTACTGAACATAAGAGTGGAAATGAATCCCCTATTATGGAATAATAAACTGACAAAAACAGGACTTGGAGGTACAATACTGTAATCCCAGAAATGCAGACGTTGAGACAGGAAGATTATAAATTAAAGGCCAACCTGAGCTACAGAGCAGATACCACACAACTCTCTCTAAAAAGAAAAAAAATGATAAAGAAAATTCATGCTCCAATAAAAGTTAACAATAATTAGATACAGGGTCCTGCATAGTCCAGTTAGCTCAACTTCAAGGAAGGAATTTAAGAGAAATTTAGACTATAGTACATAACCTTTTTCTTCCTTTCTTTTTTCTTTCTTTCCTTCCTTCTTTCCTCCCTCTCTCCCTCTCTTCCCTCTTTCTTTTTCCCTTCTTCCCTCCCTCCCTTTCTTCCTCCCTCTCTTCCTTCCTTCCTTCCTTCCTTTTCTTTCTTTCTTTCTTTCTTTCTTTCTTTCTTTCTTTCTTTCTCTTTCTTTCCTTTCTCTCTCTCTCCTCTCTCTCCTTCTCTTTCTCTCTTTCTCACTATTTCTCGTTCTCTCTTTCTTTCTCACTATTTCTCTTTCTGTTTCTTTCTTTCTCTCCTTCCTTCCTTCCTTTCTTTCCCTCCCACCCTCCCTCCCTCCCTCCCTCCCTCCCTCCCTCCCTCCCTTCCTTCCTTCTTCCTTCTTTCATATTGGTCCTGGAGCACTGTCCTGAGCTTCTTTTGCTCAAGGCTAGCACTCTGCCACTTGATCTATAGCCTCACTTCTGGAATTTTGGTGGTTAATTGGAGATAAGAGTCTCATGGACTTTCCTGACTGGTCTGGCTTCAAACTGAAATCCTTAGATATCAGCTTCCTGAGTAGCTAGAATTATAGGCATTAGACACTGGCACTGGCTTAAAAACTTGTTTTAAGTATTACTTCGCAGTTTTTTCTTTTGAATTCCTGTCACGCCCATGTAGGATATAGACAGTCTCCATACTCTGTGTAAATTATTCTGGGATTTCAGCAATACAAACAGAAGGCTGTTCAGAGGGTTATTCCCACTCAGAAAGAACACATACACAGATGGAATCTCAATCCATTCTATGAACTATCTGGGCATGCAATTTAAAATTTTTATTTAAAAATTAAAATTAGTGCTCCATTTATCTAATGCAAATACTACGACACTACAGCTTTTTCTTTTGTCTTGTTATTGTGGTCCTTGAGTTCAAACCTAGGGTCTATACAAGCAAATGCTCTACAACTGAGCTATATTCCCAGCCCTAACTTTTTAATAAACGTATGCTTTCCTTGGAAAATAAACACTAAGACAAAATGATACAGAGACTTGTATTAGAGAGTAAGCTTACCTATATAGAGAGAAGATTTGTGTGTAGGCACAGAGTCATCAATGAAGGCAGTTCCCAAAGTGTAGAGCGGAGTTCCTCCAGTCCCCAGCAACAGTTGTCCCAAGATGAAGACATACAAGTAGTTAGAAAGTGACGAGTGTGAAGATGTACAACTGGTACTATTCCTTGTTGTTAAGCAAGTATCTTTTGTGAAAGAAAATTAATTGTGAAGTTATAGGAGTGAATAATTCAAGTATCTACTTTATAAAATTACACGTTTCTGATAACCTTTGTTTTTTACAATCACTTCATTTTGATTATATTTAAATTACAAAAAGACATGGATTACTTAGAGAAGATTTGAAATATCATCATGCAAGAATTTAGGAAACATAAAGCAGAACTAAGAATTAAGAATCAAAATTACAGCCGGGCACTGGTGGCTCATGTCTTTAATTCTAGCTACTCAGGAGGTTGAGATTAGGATCACGGTTCAAAGCCAACCCTAGGCAAGAAAGTCTGTGAGACTCTTATCTTCAATTAACCACCAGAAAACTGGAAGTGGCACTGTGGCTCAAGTGGTAGAGGGCTAGCCTTGAGCTGAAGAGTTGAGGGACAGAGCCCCAGCCCAAAGTTTAAGCCCCACAACTGACCAAAAAACAAAACAAAAGAAAAGAATCAAAATTACAAATGTTCAAGAAAGCAAATCTAGAGGAAAACGCTACTAAGAAAATTTTAGGAAAAATGATAATGACAATTACCTCAAAGTTAAGACTCCAATAGGCTTATAAACACATAGAAATGGTAGCACAGAAAGAAACAAAATAATATCTATGGACTAAAAGAACTCAAGACCTATTTGAAATGAAGCAATAAAGGTGTCTGAAAGGAAATTCACATAGGAATGAGGAAAAGAGAATAAAGACTAGACAAGTCATAAGACTATAGACTTGAAAATTATGAACAAAATAAAGAAAAAGTAAAGATGTTAAGGTTTGAAAGATTAGAGAATAAATTATAAATATGAGATTCATCCAAAAGTAACCAAACAAGTAAATAATTAAGTAGGAAAAAAACCTCAATGTTTAATTAAGGAAACTTTCCTAAAATGGACACCAAAGGCACATACCTGAAATTCTAACTATTCAGGAGGGTGAGATCCTAAGGACCATAGTTCAGAGAATCCACAGAAAAATCCATGAGTTATCACTTCTAATAAGGCAGCAAAATGCTGGATCGGAGGCAAGACTCAAATGGCAAAACATCAGCCAAAAGTTAATCAAGATAGACTTTTTATTTAGAAGGTCATAGAGCATCTCACTAAAAATTAAAGTGTGACTTTTAACACTAAGATATTCTCTTGTAAACCAACTGGATTTTAAAGGTGAAAAAAATATTATTTTGAACTATCAGGCAAAAATTAATGCACTTATATAGAATATAGAAGATTAAAAAGAAGTAATCTTAAACTTCATTCCATACAGGCAAGCAAAGAAATGCCAGCAAAATTAATCAACAGAAGATTTTTAACAATCAAGATTTTATTCTCAAATTGTCTTGCAGATATATAAAGCAAAGAAACATACCTTATCCTATTTATCTTTTCTTTTTTTTGTCAGTCATGGGGCTTGAACTCTGGGCCTGGGCGCTGTCCTTCAACTCTTCAGCTCAAGGCAAGCGCTCTACCACTTGAGCCATAGCACCACTTTCAGTTTTTGTGGTTAATTGGATATAAGAGTCTCACTGGCTTCCTTGCCCTGGCCGATTTTGAACCATGATCCTCAGATCTCAGCCTCCTGAGTAGCTAGGATTACATGCCCGAGCCACCACCTCCCAGCTCCTTATCCTATTTTTCATCTCACAGAAATTTCTGTGGGAAAATTAAAAAAAAAAACCTACTGCCTATTATATATGTTCATTCAGAGATACCAGGTGGACATGAAGAACATCAGAAACAAGTTCAAAGTAACACATTAATTTATCTTTAAGAGATACTTAGATACAATACATTCAACTGTTCTGTGAATTATCCTATGGAATTATTAGTCAAAGAAACTATCTGAACTGATGTCTGCTGAGAAACCATTTTATTAAAAAAACTCAATCTCATTTAAGAAGTTCAATAATAAGTATCAAAATGCAGTTACACAAGAGGAATAAGTTTTTTTAAGTGATCCACAGAACAGTAGGTAGACTTTAACAACAACCTGTTATATATTTTATGAAGTACAATAAAATTTCAAAAGCTCCCAACACACAGAAATGATAGATACTTAAGGACCAGGAAATGATAAATGCTCTGACTTGATTATTTTCCCATTGTAAAATATATATTTAATTAAGCCAGGTGCTCCGTGGCTCACGCTTGTGATCCTAGCTACTCAGGAGGTTGAGATCTAAGGATCATGGTTCAAAGCCAGCCCAGGCAGGAAAGTCGGTGAGACTCATCTCCAATTAAGCACCAGAAAAACGGAAGTGGCACTGTGGCTCAAGTGGTAGAGTGCTAGCCTTGAGCTGAAGAGGTGAGGGACAATACCCAGACCCAGAGTTCAAGCTCCACTACTGACTATATATATAAATATATAAAATCACACTGTACCCCACAAATATGTATAATGTCAAAATTTCATAAAAGCATGTGTTTTGATAATGTACCACAAGATGGAGCTGCCACATTGTTTAGGAGCTGAGAATTTTACCTGACAGATAACAAGTATTTATAGTGGCTGAAGCCAAAAGGACAAAAAGGAAAATCAGAACAATTAAAAGTTAAAAATCTCAAGCTTATTCTAGTGTGTGTGTGTGTGTGTGTGTGTGTGTGTGTGTGTGTGTGTGTGTGTGTGTGTGTGTGTGTGTGTGTGTGTGGTGCCAGTTCTCGGCTTGAACTCAAGGCCTAGGCATTGTTCCTGAGCTTTTTTTTTTTTTTACTTGCACTTTGACAGACTTAAAAGTCTTCCTTGTGTACTAGCACTCTACCATTTTAGCCACAGCTCTACTTCTAGCTTTTTGCTGGTTTATTGGAGTTATTGAAGTTCAGAGTTTCACAGACTTTCCAGCCTGGACTGGCTTTTATTCTAACTTTTAAGACATTCTGTAGCCCACAATCTTAGGCATTCTTCCTGAAGAACTAGCGGCTCACGTCATTGTTTTCCTAGGGCCTCACAGCTGCTGGGGTAAGAGTATCTTCTTGGATTCCTCCCCTGCCTAAATCTCCTGGGCATACATTGAAGAGGCTCCAGAGAATCCAGTTCCCCAAATTTCCAGAAACAGATACATTGAAATGTCTAAACTGTAAACAAAATTTACCTCTTCTTCTTCCTGGTTGGAGAGTGACTTCCAGTCACTACCCTAAAAAAAAAAAAAAAAGAAAGAAAGAAAGAAAAGAAACAAAGAAACAAAGAAAGAGCTACAGACTTTGTTTACATGTAAAAGTTTTACAAGTCCCATTAGCATTTTCTGGCCAGAGGAGCTTAGGTCAGTCACTCTGGCATTCCTTTCTAATGATTTCTTTTTACTTGCTAGGAAACCAGTCCCACCAGCCTATCTCATAAAACTTAAGATCTTTGAAGGTCAAGATCTAAGGAGGTCTCTATAAGAAGCTGGTTGGGGGACCTACTTGCCTCAGGGACACTGTGGTGTCTATAGCTCTGAAAAATCGGAAAGAATTTTCTTCCTGTAGGTGAGGAGCAACAGTCCTAAGTCCAAATTGATATGCTTTTCCAGTAACACGAGACCAGCCAGGTGACAGCAGAGGCCTCCTGGGCTGCTCTGATTTAAAAAACTACAGGAGGTAGGTGGAAAAAGAGTTGCACAAAGAGTCATACCAACAACCTGCCTCATAACCCACCTGCCTCTGAAGCCAGCCGGGCTGCTCTTCTTCCCTAGGAACCTGATCCTAACCCACCCAATGAAGTGATTTTCAAATGGACCTACCACTGTATCCCAGAAAGATAAGAAAAGCCCACAGCACAGCAATTATTAAGGTCAATATTAGGGCATCAGCCAAATCAATATTTTATGGAACACATGAAAAAAGTGAACAAACTTTACTATGAAATGAAGTCATTATTTATATGAAAGCAGAAGTGAAATATCAGAAAAGAAATGATGAGAGAAAGAAAGATGAGGTAGGTTGTAGTAGGCAAAGAAAGAGATAACTGAAAGGGACATAAAAGTGGAGAAACAAAACACAGATCTCATAAAGCAGCAAGATGAAAGCAAAGATAAATGCTCTTCCAGCAAGTAAGAAGTACAAGGAAGAGGCATGAGGGAAATGCCTGGTAACAAACAAAGGGGAAATATTTAAAGTCTAAAATATGGGGCTGGGAAGGTGGCTCAGTGGTAGAGCGCTCACTTTGCATGCCCTGGTTCAATTCCTCAGCACCACATAAGCAGAAAAAAAAAAAGCCGGAAGTGGCGCTGTGGCTCAAAGTGGTAGAGTGCTAGCCTTGACCTGAAGAACTGAGGGACAGCGCCCAGGCCCAGAGTTCAGGCCCCACGACCGGACCCCCCCCCCAAAAAAATCTAAAATATGAACATATAAAATACTCAAATAGGGTGAAAGTACTTGAGAAGAAAAACTAAAAACCATGAAAGAAAATACTCAACAATGTGATTTAAGACAAAAATGCTGAATCTAACACATATGAATGAGAACTTTATACTTCAAATCTATCTACTAGGTATCACAAAATACAGCAGATTGGACCCTGAACAAGGGTTATTGAGTATTTTGTGCCTCTCTTTCCCTCTGAGGTAGTAGTAAGTGGTATTAACATGCATTTTATATATATATATATGTATATATATATATATGTATATATATATACATATATATATATATATAAAGTTCACAATACTGTATATCATGTATTAATTCCTATTTTTTTTCCTCCATCAATATCTAGCACCACAGACCTCTGCTCTATAAAGACATACTTTGGAAAAATACTGGTTATAGTATGACAGAGGTGCCAAGTAAAAATAAACAGAGACACCTACTCAGATGATTACAAAAGATATTTCATGGATATTTTGAGTGCTTGAGAGAACTGGCGATCTCTGGCTGGCTAGTGGCATGTTCGCCATGGAAAACCAGTCTTAAGGTCATACTTGGCAATCCCATGGCAGTAGACGTTCATGTCAAGTGAAGACAGTCTTAAAGACTGAGCAGGTCTCTTACTGGGTTGGTTCTGAGAGACATT